GAAGCACAAAGCATTCCGTGAAAGATTTACCCTCGTGGAAAAACTCTGCCCAGTGCTAACACAAATATATCGAAGTTCAGTGGGAACCAGGAGTGGGGGACAGGCATTAGAGAACCCCCATACGCATGTCAATCAATGGCCCATGTTAGGAGCTCACAGGTAGCAGTGCTGATCAGATCGTCAACGTTTGAAACAGATCAAATTCAAGTCCCTTCAAACACCCGTCAGCTTCTGGTTTCCAGTGCATAACTACCAAGAATCCGGCCCTTTCACACATCTCCCGTTTAGGGATACTGTCTCCCATTTCCAAATGGAAAAGTGAGCATTGGGGCACCTGGGTGGCTCAGTGGGTTAAAGCCTCTGCCTTTGGCTCAGGTCATGATCCCAGGGTCCTGGGATGGAGCCCTACATCGGGCTCTCTGCTCAGCAGGGAGCCTGCTTCCCCCCTCTCTCTCTGCCTGCCTCTCTGCCTACTTGTGATCTCTGTCTGTCAAATAAATAAATCTTGAAAAAAAAAAAAGTGAGCGCCAACAGACTAAATTTGGTGGAGAAATGATGACCCATCTGAAGCTTTTGGTTACGACGGCACAAGTCTGATTAAACGGGTCAGATTATCCACATCCACCCTCCCTCCCCCTTCTCTCACTCTGCACACAATGCCCATCTCAGAATTTGGCTAAGGGTTTCAACATTTTTCACCCCTAAAAATCCCAGTTGAAACGCTGGTGGTCATGGACAGACTGGGCTCAGAGCTGAGCTATTCCACAATCACCAAGCGGACTACAAGGAGTCGCCTCCTCAGAGCCACGTTCCAGGGCCCCCAAGGATAAAGAAGGTACTGGTCAGGGAAAGCCACGTCCAAATGTCCTTCCCTTTCTGAACTTTGGAAAAGGTTATCATTACAGTACTCCCCGAACCACCATTCAGCTCTGGCTCCTTAATATTCTCTGATTAGTCTAGACCTTTCCAGCACTCTTTCCTGGAGAACCCCCCACCCTTCTTCATAAGAACAACAAAAAATAACTGGATGCCCCTGTAACATTTGTGGAAAAACAAAATCGTTTAAAAATAATTCTGGGCATGCCTGGGTGGCTCAGTGGGTTAAAGCCTCTGCCTTTAGCTCAGGTCATGATCCCAGGGTCCTGGGATCGAGCCCCACATCGGGCTCTCTGCTTAGCGGGAAGCCTGCTTCCCCGCCCCCCCCCACCGGCCTACTTGTGATCTCTGTCTGTCAAATAAATAAAATCTTTAAAAAAAATAAAAATAATTCTGGGAATTATCCAATCATTTATACCAGGAGCCTTAGAAACACTCCTTCACTGTGACCCACAGGACTGACTGTCCGTTAAGGGGCTCACGACAACCCTCTTGTCACAGGGGCGAGGAGGTACAGCGAGGAGCGGCCAGCCACGTGTGGAGCTGGGATCCCAAGACTCACGTGCTCAACGGTCTCACCCCTGCCCCGTCCCTGGGTACAGGAGCTGCCGTCTTGTGAAACACTGACCCCCCCCCCCACCCCAGTGCCCCATTCATCATAGGCACTCCAGAATGCCTGCTGAATTAATAAGCCCAGTCACACCATTTCTAGAAATATCGGGTGTAAGGATACTCACAGAAAATGTGTATAAATGTTAGGCTAAACATGAGAGATAACCCAAGTTCCCACAAGAGGAGAAGAGTTAAAGACATTAGCATGCGTACGTAAACAGTAATTATAAAAAGCTGTCTTTCAAGGATATTCAAAAAATGTGGCAAGTAGGCATGATGGAAGTATCCAGTTTAAAACGGAGAATACAAAACTTTGTTAAAAATTCCTGTTTTCTTAGGAAAAAAATATATGAAAAGATATCAGAGGATCACATGTCAAAAAGTCCTTAGTGGTGGGTGCCTGGGTGGCTCCGTCAGTGAAGTGTCCAACTCTTGATTTTGGTTCAGGTCACGGTCTCGCGGTCATGAGATCCAGCCTACACCGGGCTCTGTGTTCAGTGGGGAGTCTGCTTGGGATTCTCTCTCTCCCTCTGCCCCTCCCCACGTTTGCTCTAAATAAATAAATAAATAAATAAAATCTTAGGGGGAAAAAAGTTCTTAGTGGTTTCTGAAAAATAACTAAGTAAAATGACTAAGAGTTTGGGTTGTGACAACATATTCCCTGGGTTCGAACCCTGGCCCTGTCAGTCAGGGGCTTTATCGTAAGAGTAATTAGTAAGAGAGAACGGCAACTTTACCATGAAGAAACCTGGGGACACCACCTGATCCACGTGACCATAAGTTAGTATCTTGAAGAGGACACCCCAACAGCAGGTCTCCCTATAACACGTACTGAGGACAGAGCCAAATTTGCAATAAACCGAGTCCTCACGAAATTTTGATGACAAAATGTCATCAAACCAAAACTGAGGGACGTTCTACAACAGCCTTTATCTTTGAAAGTATGGGGGCCACAAAAGTCAAGGAAACCTAAGGAACCATTCCACCTTAAAAGAGACAAGAGGTATGAGGGGTGCCTGGGTGGCTCAGTCGGTTAGGCGTTTGCCTTCAGCCCAGCTCATGATCTCAGGGTCCTGGAATTGAGCCCCAAGTCAGGCTCCCTGCTCAGAAGGAGTCTGCTTCTCCTTCTGCCCCTCCCCCGATTCGTGCTCCCTAATAAATAAACAAAATCTTAAAAAAATGAAAAGAGAGAGAGAGAGAAAGAGAGAGAAAAGAGGTGTGGCAAGTGAAGATAGCATGTGTTCCTGGGTTGGACTCTGATCTGGGGGGAGAAATATTCGTGTGTGTGTGTGTGTGTGTGTGTGTGTGTGTGTTTGAAGTAAGTTGTTAGTGGGACAACTGATGACATCGCAGGATAGAAAGCAGTACTCTATCAACGTTAATTTCCTGTGTCTAATAAATGTCCTTGTCTTTCAGGGAAAAAAATAAAATACTTACAAGTAAAAGAAGATCATGTCCACACCTAACTCTTCTAAGGTGAGGAATGATAAAGCACAGGTAGAAAATAGGTAACATTTGGGGAATCGGAGTGACGATTTGGTGCTGGTGAATTCTTGGTACTAATTTTACAACTTTAAAGTCTGAAATTATTTCCAAGACAAAAAGTTAAAAAAAAAATCCAGGTGACTTTAGGCTAAATATTTAACCTCTCTTTGACTTTTCTCTTCTGAAAATGGGGTCATAATGGGGCCCCTTCATTGCTAGAAACATTAAGATGAGATCCTACACAGAAAGCACTTCAAATGGGATCTGACAGGCACCAAAGGCTCAAGGAAAGGGGCCCACTGTCATCTTTCAAGAATGAGACTGCAACTGATCCAGGTTCTTCTTTATGGTTGTCTGAAATGTCCAAATGTTCTACAATGAAAAGTAACGGCTTTCATAATCAGAATACAAGTTTTCTGGAAGGGAAGGAAGAGAAGGTAAAAAGACCAGAAAGTTACCCGCTTGGTGAACTATCCCTGTGTCTGAATCACACTGAAGTCAGGAAGACGAAGAAGATCCTATTTTCATGAAGAGGGCGCTCCCATCACATGACACCCTGAGACCCCGGGAGGGAGAGCAGTCAGGGGCCTGTTACAAAAAACCGTAAAGAGCCATCATGCTAAGAGACCCTTGGTTCTTGAACATGCAATCAAATGAGTCCTGGTTCTAGCCAGAGAATGTGTTACACAGAAACAGCAACCTGGAAGTATGTGGCTTATTGGACTTGATCAAAACTAAACACTTTAGGGTTTCAAAGGACATCATCGTGAAATCGAAAATGACGGCCTTCCTAGTAGAAGAAAATACTTGCAAAGCATGTATCCCATAAGAGACTTTTGATCTGGAATGTATAAAAAAAACTTTCAACTCAGCAACAAAAAGACACATATTTAAAAGGGGGCAAAGGATACTGGAGAGAAGAAGATACACAAGTAGCCAGTGAGCACATGGAAAAGACGCTGAGCACGGGAGCCGTCAGGGAAAACGCAGATGTAAACCACAAGGGAGGTCCCACTTCACACTCACTAGAATGGCCAGAATCCAAAGGACTGACAAAGACCCCGTTGGCAAAGGAGAAGGGAAACTGGAACCCTTACATGCATCATGGCTTGGGCTGTAAAATGACACAGCCACTTTAGGGAGCGGCATGGTAGTTTCGGGAAGCTCAAAAGTGACGCTCACGTGGGACCCAGCAGTTCCACTCCATGAAGATGTACGTCCACACAAAAACTTGTGCACAAAAGATCCCAACAGCATTATCCATAACAGCAAAAGAAGGAAAGAAAAAAAGGAACACTCCAAATGTTCACCAACTGATGAGCGCATAAACAAAATGTAGTATTACCCATGCCACGGGCCATCGGTCCCCCATGAAAAGGCCTGAGGGACTGACACACGCCACTGCATGGACGAATCTGGAAAACCAATGCTAGGTGAAAGCAGCCAGCCACAAAGGTCACATACTGTAGAGAATAATGTCCAGTACAGAATAAGTGTCCAGAATAGGCAGGTCTAGAGAGACAGCAGGGCTGGGGGCTGCCAGGGCTGGGGGGAGGGCAGGAGTCCAGGAGGACACGGAATGGGGCGCTTCCTTTTAGGTGGTGAAAATGTTCTCAATTGATTGTCCTAACAGTTACAGAACTCTGTGAATACACGAGAAAGGAACACTGAACTGCGTGTGTTCAATGAGTAAGTACAATACACGGGCTCTAGCTTCAGAGTGCAGGAGTTTTTCAGCAAAGGGAAGGCGCCACTTAAGTGAGGCCTTGTGCCCACACGCTGGCCACCTGAGTCAGGAACCAAACCTCTTTCTCTTTGCTTATTTGGGTTATAGTTGGAGTCCAAGAATATTTGTTCTAGAGGGAAGCAAGTCCTGCACGCATCCGAAAATGTGTTTCCCTAGCAGCCCAGTCCCCCCCGGCTCGTGTCTGCAGACAGGTGGCTCCCTTGGGGAACCCTGTGCCCCAGCACGTGGAAAACAGGTGCAGACTCTTCTGTGCATCCGACCGTCTCCACCTGGGCTTTACCTCATCTGGGCTGGACGCCTGGTACACGCGGCAGGAGTCTTCGTACTGCTTCTCGGCCTCGGCCTGGTCAGTCACACCATTGGACTCGTACACGGGAGTCACGTTGTGGCAGAGCGCGATGGCCTTCACGGCCTCATGCACACGGCTGCTCATGGTCCGCCGGACCTTGGTGGTGAGCGTGGGGCCCTTCTGAGCAGGTGGGTCCTGGGATTGCTACAGGAAAGAGAAAAGAACAAGGAAGATGACTGGAGACACAGAAGGGTCTAGAACGTGTGGAAGAACCACCACATGGAGCAGCCCTTAGACATGAATACACATCTACAGTGACATTACAATATTTGGCATGTCCTTTTTATGGACCCAATCATTCATAATTGGCAAAAAAAAAAAAAAAGAAATGCAAAATAGAGAAAAAACATTACAAATCAGCAAATGTGGGTGATTCTACCTTTGAACACATGAATCTGTCCTCCTTTGGGTGGTATCAGGAGCCCCTGACAGAGGGAGGCCTCATATATCACAAGTGAGGCTGGCGTAGGAGGCTAAGGCTTCTCAAGCTGGCATGACTGACCCTTGGAGAGGAAATTCTCTGTTGCAGGGGCTGTCCCGCACTCAGTCTTCAGTAAAACTCAGATGCCCTCTGTGGTCCATGCAGCCTACCTGACCAGCCCCTGCCCACCTCTGCAGCTTCCCTTCATGCCATGTTCCTCCTCCTCCTCTCTGCTCCAGCCACACTGGCCGTTCTATTCTTTGAATACCACCAAGCTCCTTCCTACCTCAGGGCCTTTGCACCTGCCTTGCCCTCTGCTTGGAACATCATTACCAGATCTCGCAGGGCTGGCTCACTCCTTCTCATCCCTGAGGTCTCAAATCAAATGGTACATACTCAGAGAGGCCCTCCCCAAGTCCCCCAGCTCACAGTCCCCCACACCGGGAGTCACGCTCCCACACTACAATGTGCTTTGCTGTGTTCAGTCCAAAACAGGCTTGTTCGCCCGAGGATTCTCCCATTAAGCCATGAGAACAGAACTTGTCCGCGTGTGTTATTCATCACTGCAGGCCCCGTACCCAGAGCAGTGCCTGGCACATGTCGACACTTGCTGAACAGATGAACAAATTAAGAGCTCAGGACTCCTAAGGGGATGGTGGGGCATCCTTCCCTGACTTGACTGTTTTCCTATTTCCAGGAAGAAATAAATTCAAACTGACCAACACCCCTCCCAGGTTTTAAATCACAGTTGTGGACAAAAGGAACCCCTGCAAAGGTCTTCCTCCACAGCTAACAGAGTCCCGGAAGTTAGAGACACCTCTGGACTTACTGGGGTGCTGGATGCCATTAGGAACATATTTTATCCAACAGAAGAGAAGCGGTCCGGTCCCGCAAAATGAATTGTTTTATACCCACAAACACGTGACTGCCCCAAAACAGAGAACAGATGGGTAAGGAGAAATAAAAAAACGATTTTCATTTCATTTTTTTAATACTATTTTTAGCAGTGGCATAAGCCTCCCCAGGTAATTAGACAATTACTAAATTATTCTGGTCATGCAGGCGCACACACTGCTTTAGCTTCCTGCTCTGTTAACCTCTGGTGTCAAGAGGACACGAGTTTCACTTCCAGGCCAAAGGGCACTGTGTGGTTACGGTAATTAGAGCAATGAATCAGAACTACAGTTTAAATGAATCATTATTTGCCAAGTGCTTTTAATTATAAAGAATTTAATTCTAAAATTATAACAAGGACTGAAGACTTACAGAAAGGTTCTCTCCCCTGGAAAGACTACACCCAGAGGGTTCTCCATGAGCTCCGTAATTTACGATCCAGCCACAGCTGCGTGTCTTCGATTTGCCCATATGCCTCAGCACCTGGACCAAATTATTATTTAACATTTGGGGCAATAACAAGACCTCTGACAACATCATTGCTTTGGCCAGCAAGTTTCAGTAAGAATGGGTTTGAAGGAAGGACAAGGGAAGGGCATCCTCTCCAAATCTCTGAACTGTATAAGCCATCTGAACTCACGTCTCCAGAAATACTCCCGCTAGTATTTCAAATGGGGGATAGCACCGAGCTCTGGCGCTTTGCATTCCAGGTGAAACCAGCCGAGAGCAAGGCAAAGAGAGAAACACAGGAGCCCCAGATTTTTTGCAAAGACCTCGCTCCCTGACCAGGGAACCAGCCGACATCCAATCAGAAGACGGGGGTGATTAACCCCAACCAACACCACAGGCCACGGGTGTCGTGTCTCCAAGTTCATTTATTTTCTCCCTCAAATTAACCCTTATCCCCCTTTCCAACCAAAGACGTTTCAGGGAGGAGGAATAAAACCGTGGATTCTGAAATGGTCTCTTAATTCTCAAAGGAAAGGCTCATCCACCCACCGAAGGGCTGTCCACATGCACCTTGAACACGCTGGTGATCACCAGAGGCTCGGCCCGCGTCAGGAGGAGGGCCCAGTCTTCAAACATCCTCGCATTCCCCATATGGAAGAGTTTCACATTGTACCGTGTTTATCTGTGGCCTCCTCCCCATAGGCCTTGAACCTACGCACATTTCTCCTTACTTAAAAAATACCGGGGGAAAACAAAACCAGATGTGGTACCCATAGAGGTGGGGCTCCAACTCCTTCTGCCCCCGGGGGGAAACCACGGGTCCCCTTGTCGAAGGGAGACCCAACAGGCCCACACGAGGTCAGAAGCTGGGAGAGGAAATCAAGGCCTCCACGAACAAAGGCCCCTGACAAGGGCCCTCGAGTGGCTACCTCACACCATACACCGCTTCAAGGTCATTCTGCACGTCCCAGCCGACACATGAGACACAGGGCTGAAAACGAACACTGGGCCTCCCTGTCTTGCTGGCGATCCACGGCAGCGGCCCCTCCCAGCAAGAAGGCGGGTCTGTGTCAGAGGGACGACGAATACTGAAATTAAACGTCCATCGCCCACAAATACCCGTTTTCTTCCTAAATGCAATTAAAACGTCTCCACGTAGGAGCGTTCGTAATAACGGACCCTGGGGACGGGTTGCAACTGGTAAAAATGCGGTTCCATCAAAGAGGAAGAACGGTCGTGGAAGCCCCACTTCGCCCCCCAAAGAACGCTCAAAGCTCATAGCTCGTTACCCGCACAGGTCACCCCCTGCCCCCAGACTCGGGCTCTGAGCCTCAACTTCCAAATGAGTCAGCTGAGCTATGGGATGATTACGTGACTGAATAAACTCAATGTTGACTACTTCACAGACATCACAAGCACGGCAAAGGCCACACTTTTCAGTCTGCGGAAACTGAACCCCATATAACCCAGGGTTTCGCGCCCCCATCAGGCGGTGTCCAGAGATATTTCTGGTTATCATAACCGAGGGAGGGGGCACCTCAGGCATCCAGAAGGTAGAAGGCAAGGACGCTACTGAACACTGGGAGGCCCAGCACAGCTCAGACGACAATTCTGTCTCAATTTAAGAAAAAAATTTTTAGGGGCTCCTGGGTGGCTCTGTGGGATAAGCCTCTGCCTTCGACTCAGGTCATGATCCCAGGGTCCTGGGATCGAGCCCCACATCAGGCTCTCTGCTCTGCGGGGAGCCTGCTTTCTCCTCTCTCTCTGCCTGCTTGTGATCTCTGTCAAATAAATAAATAAAATCTTTTTTAAAAAAATTTTTTTTAGATTTATTTATTGATTTGAGAGCAAAGCCATGCGCAGGAGGGAGGGACAGAGGGAGAGAGAAATTTCAGCGGACTCTGTGCTGAGTGTGCAGCCCCACGCTGAGTCCTGCGTGACTCATGACCCTGAGATCACAACCCAAGCCGAAATGAAAAGTTGGATTCTTAACCGACGGCACCACCCAGACACCTCTGTAGCTCAATTTTTTTTTAATGTACTAGTAAATAAAGAAGCCAAAGGAAAAAATCATCCTATCTCCTCAGCCTGTCATGGTTTTTCCTCAAAATGTGTTGGACATTTACAGTTTATTTAGGTTTTTATTAATAGTCAGCAGTCTCCCTGCAGAAATCTTTTAAAGCCCCCTCTTTATGAGGTTAATTTAGTGAAATGACATCCGTCAAACGGGTCACATGGACACTCATCACCTGCGATCTACATTTCCACGTCCTAAAAATAAACCCCCAAAGAACTCTTGACTCCTGCCACTCTTCCCACAGGACACCTCAAGGACCGGACTGGACAGATGCTCGTCGGACATACGGATGGACCGAGGGTCCCTGGCTTGATCTCAATGCTCTCGAAATTTAAGATTTAAATTTTGCTTTAAGTTTGAAAATACAAATGCAGAGCAAAGAGACGCCCTAATCTCTTCTTCCGTCTCTCCAACGGGTCACCTTGCAAACCCTGCTGTGGAGTCCGCAGATTGAGACACTGGTTTTCTGGAAAACAGGGCAAGCCTCAGGTTCACGGGAGCCTTTCAAATGCTACTATACTTCAGAATCACCCGGTTCACTGGTTAGAACTGTAGGTCTAGAGGGTCCGACCATCCCAAGGGATCTGCCCCAGGAGTTTCAGACGGTGGACTTCATGAAACGCTGGCCTAAAATCCCATTATTAAACTCTAAAGTCAAGTCAATGACTGTGGGGAGCTCAGGGGATCTTTCTGGGGTTGCGGCACTGGTTCCACAGCTCTGTAAATTTACTTAAAAAAAAAAAAGTCACTGACTTGAACACTTAACAGAGCCGCATTTTATGGTAGATCAACTACACATCCATAAAGCGGTTTTAAAAACCTGGAAGAGGGGCGCCTGGGTGGCTGAGTGGGTTAAGCCTCTGCCTTTGGCTCAGGTCATGATCCCAGGGTCCTGGGATCGAGCCCCACATTGGGCTCTCTGCTCAGTGGGGAGCCTGCTTCCCCCTCTCTCTCTGCCTGCCTCTCTGCCTGTCAAATAAATGAATAAAATCTTTAAATAAATAAATAAATAAATACCTGGAAGAGCCCTTGAAAGCCTCATCACGAAAGTATTCCCGTGTTCACGGCAGGGTTTTTGGACGGCGTGCGAGAACGCACACACCTCGCGGGGTGAGCGGGTACCGTAACTCTGAGCTCATGGCAGCCTCCAGACAACCTGACCTGTAACACTCAGCGATTTTAACTCCAAGGCCAGGGTGGGTAAGGGAATTTATGAGCTTCCGCGAAGCCAGGGGGCTGGGGTAGTGCTCACGGTAAGAAAGGTCTTTCTGGGACTTGTAACACTTTACAAAGTGTGTTATCTGTGCTGAAGCAAAAACGGACCATAAAAGCTGAACGCAAATACCCTGAGAAGGGATGGTTTCTGTAAACATCACAAGCTCTTAAAAACCCCACCCCAGTGGGCAAAGGGGTGTCTCCTGCGGGGGGGGGGGGGCGGCACCATGACCAGGAAGGTGTCTGGTACAATCACCATCGGCCTGCGGTGCCAAGGAGAGTGCTGGAGGGAGGGGGGTTCGGGCAGGCGCTGGTGAGCGTGGCCACCCACACAGTGGACCCCCTCGGGTGGGGCCCGGAAGGCATGTGGGTTCAACGGTTCAGAGGGTAGAGTCTGTTCCAAGACACAGAAACAAGGCGGCTCCCCCTTCCCCCCATGCTGAAGGAGTAAGCGGAGGACAGGGTGAACGCCAGGAGGGAGGGGTGGGGACGCAGGCTATGCCTGGGGCACATGGAGGTCTCAGCCCCAAGATGGAGTTAACAGGACAAGGGGGACCCCGTGCTCCCGGGAGGGGTTCAAGAGGAGCAGCAGGGAGACTGTGTGGGGCAGGGGGATGTGTGCACAGCCAGGCAGGTGAGAGGGCAGGTTTGGCCTAGCAGGTGACAAGAGATGAAGACAAAAGGCCAAACACATGATCAGATGGGAACAGACCTCACCAAAGGGCCTGGGACTGACGGCTGAAGGAAGGTAGGGATGGGGAAGGAAGGGGCATTCTCAGATCCTGGGAGAGAGCAGTGCAGTAGGCAGGGGTAGCACTCACTAGGACAAGAACCTCTGGAAAAGAAGCAGGGGTGTGGGAATATGGGAAGGAAGTCAGGACTATAGGGACTCTGTCCTTAGGCTCCGTAAGCAGCCATGCCAAGCACGCCAGTGTCTCGAGTCTAGAGCTCCAGGTGAGGCCGCAGACAGAGACGGGGTCATTAGCACCTGCGGGGGCGATGGAAGGAGGAGGAGGAGGGACCATCTGGAGAGTGACACATGGGGGCCAGTACAGAGCTACAGACCACCAACGCCACAGAGGGAGATGGGACAAGAGAGAGGGACAGGGACAGGGGGCTGGACATGGCTTTTCCTTCTCATCCAACTAAGTCCTCGTGAGTTTTTAAGAGTCCTAAAGTCCATCTTTGAAACTAGATCAGGGATCCATCTGGAGACAAGCCACAAATGCCCACACAGGCAGCCTAGAAGAATTACAGGTGTTTCACTTACACAGATCAAATTAACTGTCCTCCATTTAAAATTCACTCCAACTTCCAAACTGTATCCCCTGCTCTGCCGTTCTCAGGAAATAACCCTAGAAATCCAGACGTGCCCGCCAGTGAAGGTTCCGGAAAACTCAACGTCCCATGTAACCATGGCACAAAGCATTCAGGAGTTCTGCCTCTACCCCGTATTGGGAAATACCCCCTTCGCATTTCTAACTGGCCTTCTGACAACAAAATTATTATCTATTTTGACAAATTTAAGCAAAACGTGGCCTCTCTATTCTCATGTCCAGACAAGTGCCACCATGCACAGCTGGCCCGTCAGCCCTGATGCGTCTCAGAATTACCAAGGGTTTGCCCGTGTGTCATCTTACCTCTGAGACACAGCAGCCCAGCCCTGCCCTAATCACAGTGAGTTAGAATCCCTCACATATGAGGCCCAAGTCAAAGTCCTTCCTTTTGTTTTTGTTCTTAAAACATCACTAGCGATTCTGAGTAGCCAAGGTCATATACCCAAGGGTGTGTGTGTGTGTGTGTGTGTGTGTGTGCACGCGCCCACCCACAGGTATAACTTTTTAGGAATATGAGGACACTTCCCAGTAATACCTTTCTCTGAAAAAGGACTAGTTTTGAAAAACCTCGTGGAAACAAATGTGGGAGCAGAGAAGCTGCTGGCCATCTCCGATAAATTAACCCCTTCCGTGTGGTCACAGAGTTGAACCCGGACGGGAAACTGAAGCCCACCGGTGACGACGGTTTTTCCTAAGCAGATCAGTCATGCCTGTTGCTTTGGCTCCTGACCAGGGAAATGAAGTAAAGTAACCCGTAAGTGCCCAAAGCTATTTCTGGCACTAGTCACTGGCAGACAAGTCTCTCTTCGGTTTTTCCCAGTATCCATAAGCATTTCAGTAGAGCAGGGTAACTCTGGAAATGAGAAAGATGGCACAGGGGAGGGGGAGGGGTGATTTCAAGGGTGATTTTATTCAAAACATAAAGGACTGACGGTTGCCCTGGGTTTGGAAGGAGAGGTGGTGGGGGAGGGACAGGGAATGATGGCTAATGGGGACGGGGTCTCTCTTGGGGGGGGATGAGACAAAACGGATAGCGGTGATAGTTACACAACTCTGGGAATACACCAGGAACCACTGGACAGTACTCGTTAGCTGGGTGAATGGGACAGTATCAGGAATCCTATTTCAATACAGGTGTCAGTAAGTGCAAAAGAATTGTTTCCAGTATCAAAGCAGAAGGCGTTACCTGGGTATAAACACTAAAAATGTGGCTCTGAACTTCATCCATGGAGTCAAGGCTATAGGCCACGGTGCCCAGGTGCAGCCGTTTGAAAACCATCTCGTTCTGGGTGAGAGTTCCTGCAACACAAGACACATGAGGAACCCCGCCCACCTCCTGGGGCTTCGAGGAGCAGGAGGGACGCTGTTGTTTTCTGAGAGTTTACTACTCTACGCCCTGCCCTGGTTTCAGCACTGCCCCTGCTCGGGAGATGTCTGCACTGTTTATCTGGTCTGTCCAGAATCGAACTCCTTTTCTTTTGAAAATAGCTTCCTGGATTTCCACAGGGGGAACCATCACCCTCATTCCCTGGGATGGTCTAGAGGGAGGGTCAGGCAGGGCGGCTGACTCATTCCAGCAGCCCAGATGGTGGCACAGGACTTCCACTGGATTCTGTCCAGAAGGGATCTGAACCCTGGGCAGACGGATATACGGACAGAAGACGGACAGAGTCAGGTTCACCCCACTGAGGGAGTCCTACAGCGGCTACCCCAGGGGCTCTGAAGCAGACATATCCAGAAATTTTCTGGTTCTATTCCTTCCTGAAACCTCATTTTTCTCTGATGGGGTCTTTGCAACAGACTCGCTTTTGTCCCACGGTCACTAAGTGGTAGAGAGGAAGCTCAACCCAGGTGTCCCCACTCCCCGTCCTTGCACTTAGACACTCTGAAAGCAAATTGCAGGGCAGTGTTCTGGGGTGCAGCGATGAGGACTCGAAGCCTGCTCGGTCACCCTGTGCTTCTGACACGGCAGTCAACCTCCCCATGCCTCGTTTCCTCATCTGTAAAATGAGGCTAAAAATGCCTCCCTCACAAGATGAGGTTGAGGATTCACTAGACCACCCTCTGCGAGCACCCCGAGAAGTGCCTTGAGCCTTATTAGTACCAGGTAAGGCTTTGCTGCTTGACGGTGAGGACAATCGTCACCAGCATCGTCACACAAAAAAAATCAACATTCCTCAATAGCTGAAGAGAATAAAACAGCAGCAAGCATCCATCTCTAACATCTCCAGGAAGAGAATGCAAGCGCCTCCTCTCACTGGGAAGCCCGGGAAGCTCCAGGTAACAGCTCACCTGTCTTGTCCGTGAGTAAGTAAGAAATCCTGCCCAGCTGCTCAGGGATGGTGCTGGAACGAACCACCGTCCCGGGGATTTTCGAGTCCCTCCGGATCACCCAGCTGTACACAATCTTGCCCATGTCCAGGTTCACACGCAGGCTAGTCCGAAAAGCAGAGCAAACAGGTTAACAGGATGTCCGTGAGGTTCCCTGTGTCTCTATCTGCAGACGGCGAGGACCCTAAACGACTCTAAACCCCATCAGTGGGGCTGTAACATTTGGAAACCCCTCCCCGGGGCAGCACAGCCTTGCGGCGGGAGCCACAGAGTCCGCAAGTCATCTCTCAGCTACCTCACAGAAAAAAAAATCACCACTACCATGAAGTTATTTTGGACTAAAATAAAACAATGAAAGTTTAAAATGCTTTTAAAATACTGAAAAGCGGGGCGTGTGGGTGGCTCAGTGGGTTAAGCATCTGCCTTCAGCTCGGGTCATGGTCCCAGGATCCTGGGATTGAGCCCCACATTGGGCTCTCTGCTCAGTGGGGAGCCTGCTTCTCCCACTCCCCTGCTTGTGCTCCCTCTCTCTAGCTATGTCTCTCTGTCAAATAAATAATTAAAATCTTAGAAAAAAAAAACCCAAACCGTATCAGATCAGCAGCGAGTCTGTTCCTCCTCCTACCCCTTCTCCCCACCCCACAGGCTTTTTCTCTCTCAATTAAATAAATCTCTAAAAAGAGAGAAACCATTAAGCGTGCAGCTCAGTGGTATTAAGTTTAATCACACTGTTGTGCAACTATCACCACCATCCCTCTCCAGAACATTCTATCTTCCTCAACTGAAATCCCATGCCCATGAAACAACTCCCCACTCTCCCCTTCCTCCAATCCCTGGCACCCACCACTCTCCTTTCTGTCTCTCTGAACTTGACTGCTCTGGGGACCTCACAGGAGAAGAGACTCAGACAGCATGTGACCTTCTGGGACCAGCTGATGTCACTCAGCATAATGTCTTCAGGGACACTGCACTGTGTGTCTGAATTTCATCCCTTTTTAAGGCTGAATAATATACTATTATATGTATTCTATTCATCTTGAGATATTATGTTATCGTAAAAAAATAAAAAGAAATTGTCACATTCATTCATACTCCTATAAATTAACCAAACTTCCCACTATTTTCCTGGCTAGTCATTGGCCGTAGAAAGAGTCAACTCACTAATTTTCAATCACGCAGTAGACAGAGCTTTAAAGATTACAACGTCACTTAACGTTACCGCACACTTTTTTTGCTGGTGATAGAGCAGATGTACTTATTCTTTGAAACCAAGATCCAGATCACACTGGCGAGGGGTCCAATGCCCCTATTCTAGGAACACTGCGGTATCAAAACTACAATCCCTATCCTCAGGAAAACATGAATTCTAGCTGGGATGACGTAAACACCCAAAAGAGCAAGACAAATTACAAGGCAAAATACCAAGTTTAATATTAGAAGCACTAGAAGTTTCGGGGGGAAAATAATGATTTATTTTAATAATATTTACTAAACATCAATTATGGGGGACAGTTGAAACGAGTCCCCAAAAATACAGAGCTAAACAGTTAAACCTAGAATATATAATAGGGCTGTTCTAAAACACATCGGGGTACCAGTCACCAGTATATCTGATGTCCAAAGTTACTTACAATGCATTGCTCTAAGAAAAAATAAATAAATAAATAAAAAGGTAGATTTTACATACAGCAGACTCTCCCTTTAAAATAGAAAAGAGGCTAGAAAGATGTATATGCCAAAATATTAAGAGCACCTATCACTTAGTTGTGAGATTAGAGGTGATTTTGATCTTCTCTGGTCACTGGGAATCTTTGTTTTCTCCTACTACGACAATTCCTTGTATTATCTTCTAAGAGCATTTATTCAGCCTCCAAGGAAGGCAAGCCAGTGGCTGGCCCGTGTCACCAATGCTCATCAGTCCCAGTATTTCCCTCTGAGTGTGGACTCGAGCCCAGGATCCGTCTCAACACAGCGCCCCCGGCGGCCAGCGCCAAGCTCCAGAACCGGCCCACGAGACGGGCGCTGAGCGGCATCCCCGGCACAGGGCAGACAGGGCAAGGGCTTCTGAGCAAAGACTGATTCAAGAAAGGCTGGTTCAAGGAGGAACCACCCTTCCCTGCTGGGGCCACGGAAGGGGACTCGTGTCCCCGACTGCACCCCTTCGTCGTCTCCAAGGGGACCATGAGAGAAAAAGAGGACAACAGCCTGGCTCCTTTTCTGCTCACCTGATGGGGATGATGTTGGAGAACAGCAAGAGGAAGCGGATGATCTGGAGGTACCAGCGCCCGGCAAAGTGCTGAAGGGCCACCATGACCAGCGACACCACCACCAGAGCACCGAAGAGGATCTTGCTCAGGCAGTTCACCTCCAGGTCAAACAGGCCGATCTGTGGGACGGAGCAGCGGGGGGCCTGTGCTTAGTCGGTGCACCCGGAGCCCAGCGGGAGAACTGGTCCTTCTCCAGGAGCACCTGCGCCCCAGGAGACGGACAGTGGGTCTGTCTGAAGGGTCCCTACGTCTTCGCTTCAGAATACTGGGCTCCAGGGGCTGGGCTTCCTAACACACATCCGAGGGGCCTCAAGGATTTCTGATTGCGTTAATTGTTTTAACAATCAAGAGGCCTTAGGGGCACTGGGTGGCTCAGTCAGTGAAGCGTCTGCCTTCGGCTCAGTCATGATCTCCGCGTCCGGGGATCAGGCCCAGTGTCAGGCTCCCTGCTGAGTGGAGGGTCTGCTTCTCCCTCTCCCTCCACCCACCCACCCCACCCCCTCAACTCATGCCCCCTTTCTCTCTCTCAAATAAATAAGTAAAATCTTTAACAAATAAAATAAAAAAACAAACAAGAAAACTTAGACTCGGAAACACACAAACAGGTCACAGTGCATCGGGGGCTACGTGTGGGGTGACGTACGCCATGGCCTATAATATGGGCTCGGTCCCCCACTCCTGGAACTGCCCCACACACGGATTCGGGGCTGCCTGACAGCTCAGGGCACACACACAGGTGGGACCTGATGGCTAAGAGCCACACTCATGAGCGCGATGATTTGAATAATGATGGATTTACTTTAACGTGTCTGCAAAAAAAAAAAAAACAAAAACGGAACCAGCAGGCCAAAGCTGTAACTTCACAGAATCGTGGCCCAGCACAAGGCTAAAGCATCGAATAAATGGCCTTCTGGTTGTAAGGATGGTCGTGACGATGGGGAGGCAATGACCAGGGGTCTGGAAACCGCACTCGTTCACGGTGTCGACAGAGGAAGTCATTGTACAGTTTCTGGCTAAGTCTTGAACTGTGGGGGAGGAGTGGGACTGGGAGGGTGGGTTGTGGTGTGAAACGAGTGAGAACGGGGCCCACCTGGAGGCCACAGAGCAGACCCCACTCACCACGCCACAGCCAGTGTCCCCTGTGGGGTGGATCTGAGCCCGCCCCTTCCCTGCCAGGCAGCGTGAGGACACAGGGCTTCTCACAGTCACTGCTCAGCTCATGAGCCCATGGAAGCGCCCAGGCTCCCCGGGTGGGGTGGGGGTGTTGGGGATTAAACGGGGGAGGGGGCGCCTGTGAAGGATGGGGCACCATGCAGGGCACGCAGGAAGTGCTCAACAGTTTGAACTTGAAAGCCTTAAGAATTTTATGAATTCCCACAAATACACAGGAACGCATGCTCCTGTGTTATACGGATGCGTGTGCACACGCGCACATGTGCACAGACACATGAGAAGACAGTACGTCTATATGAATGAAATAACACCGTGAGGTATTCCTGTTTTTAAATCCAGCTCCTCTGGGGGCCTGGGTGGCTCAGTCAGTTAAGCGACTGCCTTCGGCTCAGGTCATGATCCTGGAGTCCCGGGATCGAGTCCCGCATCGGGCTCCCTGCTCAGTGGGGAGTCTGCTTCTCCCTCTGACCCTCCCCCATCCCACGCTCTCTCTGTCAAATAAATAAATAAAATCTTTAAAACAAACAAACATAGAGCTCACCTTACTTCGAGGATTTGAGGTGTTCATGACACTCCGGAGTTCTCTGCCCGTGTAAAGAACAACACCCACGACAGTACCTAACGTGAGAAAAGCGCAGCACAAAGAGACGTGAACACCGACGGTATCCGGGGCCACGAGGACCAGCACCGCCGCTCCTCACCACAGGCAGCCGTTTCGATTTAAGTTCAACAGAAATTAATACATCCAGTTCCCCATCTTCCCTCCGCGTCCACCACAGTTTCGAGCACTTGGCGGTCACGGTGAAGACACAGAACGCTGTTCCTGTTGCTGAAAGGTCGACTGCTCAGTGCGGGTCTGTGGGGTTCCCTGGGGACCTGACGGGGGGTCTGCCCTTCATGCCACCGCCCTCAGAGGCTTCCAGAGGCGCTTATAGGACATTCCTATCTTCAGACACTATGAGAACTTACAAACACGCTCTCATTAGAGCCTCTTCCCACTGAGTCTGACTCCTTTAGATTCTGTGTCCAACTAGAACACGGGCCAGATGACCCATCTTTCCTGAGAACTTCCCCACCCCCTCTCATGCACCGCCCCCCCGCCCGGCCCCGTTTATCAATCTTTCTAAAAGTCAACAACTTATAGAAGAAACACAAAAGGCCACTTAACTTTAGAAAAGATGCTCAACTTTGTGAGTAATCAAAGAAATGCAAAATAAGCTACTTTTATCCCTATTGCAACAACAAAAATTCCGCAGACTGATATCACCCAGTGTCTCCGCCAAATGGGCCCTGTCGTAACACGCTATCGGCTGGAATGTAAATGGGAACAATCTATTTTGGGGTGAAACTGGTCATATCTATTAACAATCTACCTGTCTCCCCTCCTCAGTGTATGCCATGGAAACTCTCAACACAGTGGGGAAGACTGACAACGAAGGAGGAAACGACAAACAGGTAATCACGGACGGTGGCAGGTGCCGTCATGAAAATCAGGCAGAGAAGCAGACTGGAAGGAGCCGGAGAAGCCTGCTGGTTGGTACTGGGTAGTCAGAGAAGCAGCCTCTGAGATGAGGGCGCCTGAGCAGGAGCCTGAACCCTGAGAAGGGGCCAGCCCCGCCACGCTCTCAGGGAGGCGGCCAGGAACACAAGCAAGTTGGTCTCTGCTGGGAACGAGAACCACCTCCACTCTCCTCTCTCAGAGGGAGATGCCAAAACCTCAGAGAGCGTCAAACAGAGCTGGTCAAGGAGCCCCAGCCCAGAGGACGCGCTGGGACTATGTCTCCCCAACAAAGCCCCGGGAGGACACACTGAGGTCCCCCCTCCAAGCTTAATGCACGCAATGCGGTTCCCTTCTAGGAAGGTTCAGCAGATGGCGGGCCGGGCAGAGCTCACTTGCTGGCCCCCTGGCAGATGGCAGCTCCAGTGAACGCAGGCCTGCGGCCACAGCAAATGGTGAGACCAGAGGTGGCCACGTAGCCACTGCACTCATTCCTGCACAGATGTGGTGGGTGTCAGTCCCCACGATCGAGGGTTCAATAGGGTCCTAATGACAAGGACCTCTGAACAGGTCCTGCACTGGCGCCAGCCAACCTTAATGCCTGCCAAGGCTGAAATGAAAATGGCCCTTCTCCCCGGCGCCTGCCTCTGCTCAAGCCCAAAACCCCTTCCATAAGATCCAAACGCAAGCAACAGTCACCCAGAGGGAAACCACACACGTGCACTGGTCTATACTGGGCTTTCAAGGTTTTGAATTCATCACCATCTTTTAAATACAGGAACTTTCATATAAAAAATTGAGAATTCTGGCTCCTCCTGCAAACTCAGAAGATCTGGAGACACTGGGTCTGTAGTCCCAGCAGGTGTCAAGCACGGGCACTCCCTTTATCCGGGGGCAGGCTCTCAGCTCATCCTGACCCCCACGTGGCCCAAGCCACCCCTTCAAGACCTCCTGACCCAAGCCTCTCTGCCCCCCGTGTCCTGTGCCATCAGTGTCGCTGTCCCCCCCCTCGCCCTCCACAGTGGGCAGAGTACAGAATCCTCTCCACTCAGCCAGCTGGTTTCTCCAAGTCACACTGCTGTGGTCGCGTGTCACACCAACTTCTTCCTAACTCCACAACAGCCCAGTCCCGGGGTCAGGGCCTACTCTGTGACCCCTTTGTCCCTGTCTGCAACAAGATAAATGCTACCCCTGAGAGTGAGCTTTCGGAAATGTTTAGAGCAGTCAGATACCACTGCGACATTCAAGCGTGCAAGCGCAGGACCAGTGCCGCTGGACAGGGTCCAGACCAGCGGGACACACTCAAGCTCACGTGCCCATGTGCACAGGCACGACTGCCTGCAGGCTGTGCAAGGGCCACGGACTGATGGGTTGCGGACCGGAGCCGGGGGAGGCAGCCGCATAAGCAACTGGAGAGCCTGAGAAGAACAGGGCTCCATAGCCCCGGGGCCATGCCCCATCCCTTCCCTCTCTCAGCCCAGTGACTCCCCAGCCCAGCAGCCCAGGGTTGGGTTGCCATGGTGACTGCGTCCTCTCCAGGTTGAGGCCAGCAGAGGCAGCTGGGCCCTAAGCACTGTCTGGCAAGCTTTCTCATTCTTTCAGACTTTCAAGTGGTAACAGCAGAGTGACCAGAACATAGGACTTCGCTTCTAAAGAGAACTGAGAAGTGAAATCTCACAGAATCAAGATGACTAACGATGGCGGTTTCTCGACGGGGTGCACCAGAAGGAAATGGCTTGCGTATAACCAGGCTTGCGTCAGAATCAGAATGCAGTCAGAGGATTACTCACTGAGAAGCAGGGGAAACTGAGGCCACGTAAGGAAACGGTACGTGTCCAGTGTCTCGGACTCCGAAACCCATGCCCGCTGAAGGGCTCAGCAGGTAAAACCACTGGGTCACTGCTCTCACCACTCACTTTCCTCCCACATCACCAATCACAAACTTTGAAATCTCTTCTCCCAACCTGTTTTCCACTCTCTGCCTCCCAGGAGAGGACCTCCTAGGCTGTGCGACCTTAGGCAAGTTGCTTAACGTCTCTGAGACTCCATTCTTCATTCCATTAAACCCTCCTTTAATGTTGTGAGACCAAAACAAGAGAATGGCAGCAAAATGCTTCATAAATAAAAAAGAGCCTGATAGGGTGCCTGGGTGGCTCAGTGGATTAAGCCTCTGCCTTTGGCTCAGGTCATGATCTCAGGGTCCTGGGATCGAGTCCCGCATTGGGCTCTCTGCTCAGTGGACAGCCTCCATCTCCCTCTTCCCCTGCCTGCCGCTCTGCCTACTTGTGATCTCTCTCTGTCAAATAAATAAATAAAATCTTAAAAAAAAATAAAAAGAGCCTGATAAACAAAAGACTCATCACTGTTCATCTCTGAGATGAAGGCTGACAAGTCCCTCCACCTCAGAACTCTCCACATGTCCACTTAAATTGCTTCCCTTCTCACTGGTTTCAGAGGGATTTCAGAGACCCACCCCCATTTCCTCCCATCTCCTCTGTCATTTGTATTAAGTTTAGAGTGAACTAGAAACACCACCAGGATGGAGACGAGGATTTTCCAGCAAGCCACCACAGCGCCAGGACCGAGCAACAGAGCGTGGCCACATCCCATAGAGACACTCAGGAAAGGTTTTTGGGGGCTCTGGCTGGCTCAGCCAGATGAAGAGTTTACGACTCTTGATCTCAGGGTTGTGAGCCTGAGCCTCACACTGGGAAGCAGATTATACTTAAAATGATCCTTTAATTTTTTTTTTTTCAAAAAAATAAAAATAGGGGTGCCTGGGTGGCTCAGTTAGTTAAGCAGCTGCCTTCAGCTCAGGTCATGATCTCAGGGTCTTGGGATCCAGTCCCGCATCGGGCTCCCTGCTCCGTGGAGAGCCTGCTTCTCCCTCTTCCCCTGCCTACCGCTCTGCCTACTTGTACTCTCTCTGTCAAATAAATAAATAAAATCTTTAAAAAATGAAAATAAAATAAAATAAAAATAAAAATAAAAATAAATAAAATAAATGTGTTTGTTTTGTTTTATTTTGCTCTGCTGCATGGAAAGAAGCAGCCAGGAGAGAAGAAAATCACCAGAATAAAAACCAGACAGACATGTGAACATGTATTTACTACTAAAATGTTAATATTGTTGAAACAAGTGGCTAACCAAACAACTCAAAGCTACGAGGAATCAACGTAGCTGTTACCCTTGCAATGCCTGGGTGGCTCAGTCACTTAACCATCTGCCTTCAGCTCCGGTTATGATCTCGGGATTCTGAGATCGAGGGCCCCCCATCCCACCCATACATCCAGCTCCCTGCCCAGTGGGGAGCCTGCTTCTCCCCTCCTCAGCCCCTCCCCCCATCACCCGCCTTCTGGCTAGCTCTGTTCACTCTCTCTCAAATAAATAATCTTTTTATAAAGGTCGCTGTGGGGGCACTGGAAGGCAGCGGAGGGACTGCCGGGGGCTGACAAAACCCGGATTATTGATCGGAGCACTGGTGCTATGTTTGGGATTCAGTCCGTATATGTGTTATCTTTCAGTAAAAGGGAAGGAGAAGGACACCCGCCTGCAAGGAATGATGTGCGGACCACTGGACTTACTGCCTGGCAAGCAGATGCCCACATCCCAGGCGCCCCTGTGCCCCCAGCTCTGCCTGCACTGGACACAGCACAACTCCGGAGTTCTACCCTCTCATATCTGATCTCCATTCACACCCCTATTCCACCTGCTGTTCTCCATCCCAAACTGTGCGCTCTCTCCTTTCACACACGTCCAGTCCCCAGGGGCGGTCTCGACACTGGGCCACATGCACAGACTGGGCACAAGGGTCTAGAGCTTCCAGCTGGAGCCCAAGTAAGGTCCTTCTGCCAGTAAGTTTTCCTAACTTCACTCCATACATTCAAATATTTTAATATGAAACTGTATAAACACTCCAAGAAAACATCAGTGTATTTGTCTCATTTTAAAGCAGGTAAGATTTTCTCAGCATGTCAGAAAAACCAGAAACCATAAAGAAAAAAAAAATCAATGGGTTTGAGGGTATAAAAATTCTAAATTTCTGTGCCAAAATACAAATGAGACCAACTGGGAGACAGTAATTGCAATTAAGGTAAAAAGCAGAAGGATAATATTCTTAGCCTATAAAGAGTTGTTGGAAATCATTTTTTTTAATTCGTTTAAAATTTATTTATTTGAGAGAGAGAGAGAGAGCATGAACAGGGGGAAGGGGCAAAGGGAGAAGCAGACTCCCCACTAAGCCAGGAGCCCTGTACGGGATTCGATCTCAGGACCCTGAGATCATGACGTGAGTGGAAGGCAGACACTTCACCGACTGAGCCACCCAGGTGCCCCAGGAATCAATTTTTAAAGGAATCCATCAATAGAAAAAAATGGGCATTGGCCATAAACTGGCAAATCATATATACATTTTAAAAATGCAAATGGAAAAAATACAAATGAAGATAAAACACTTTTAAAAATCCAACTTCACAAATAACTTTATTTTTCAGATTTTATTTTTGGGACGCCTGAGTGGTGCAGTCAGCTAGCATCTGACTCTTGATTTCAGCTCAGGTCATGATCTCAAAGTTGTGAGATGGAGCCCCAAGACCAGCTTTGTGTTCAATGCAGAGTCGGCTTGGGATTCTCTCGCTCAACGTAAAACGTATCTGCCCTTTACTCTAGGATTCCCGTTTCTATGGAAATGTGGATAACATCAGTATTTAGAACTTCTCTCTGGAAAAACCAAACAAAGCACATCAAAGACAAAAGCAAAAGCCAAACAATAAACTTTGGAAAGAGATTTGCATCACATACGAGATGAGTTTGATATTGTCTCTGCTAGGAAGCACGCTCACAAGTCAATATGAAGAAACAGAAAGTAGATGGACCAAAACATTAAGAACTGTCTTATGTGTAGAAAGAGGTTCCTATATTCTCAACGAAATAAACAAATAACAAGAGAACCTCTATCACAGACAAGAACAGTATAACACTATGAAACTCCTGCATATCAAATACGCCACAAAATCTTTTCAAAAACCAGAAATGGGGAACTCTCACAAACGAGTAAGAGAAAGAGAAGAAACAGCTAGCGGGCACAAAAAGTAAGGGAGAAAGGTAGAGACCACACAGACCACAAGGAAAGCCAACCTTCCAGGCAATCCAGGAAATGCAAATCAAAACACACTATTTCTCTGCCAATTATTAAAGATTAAAAGGAATAACTATTGTTAATAAATGCCTTCAAAGGGGAGGAAAACTGGGAAGGAAGAGTAACCAGTTCTGAGAGACGTGGGTGGACCTGTGGCAGGGGAGAGGCTGGAGGGGAAGGGCTGCAGCAGGGGCTGGTGGGTGTGGCCAAGGGTGTGGGCGTGGCAGGCAGTTCCTCGTGGCCGTGAAGAGCCTTAAGGACCCATTTCTCCTCTTTAGCCATCAGGAGGAATTGAGAGACATTCCAGATTAGGCAGCGAATACAGGCAGGGAGTGGAAAAGGAAAAATGGCAGAAGACGTAAAAGGAGTGCTCATCTCTATGTGCATTACGTGGTTCATCTGTGGATGGTGAACAAGGTGGCCCCGCGTTTAGTTTGTGGTCTGTGCTGGTCATTCCCTTCCTTAGCCACAGAGTATCCTGACTGAGCACCTAAATTATACTAAAGAGACACAAAGCAGCATCAAGCAGAAGAAAACGGGTTGGTAGGAGGAAGAGGTGCTTGAGAGGGAGAAAGCCCAGTTGGCAATAGTAAAATTATATATTAATAATAGTATATACTATTACCTCATATATGTGATGTAACAAAGTAACAAGAACGGCACAATATGTTCTGCTTCTGCAACAAAGTGCCTGGGTTCAAGTCCCAACTTTGCCTTTTACCTCCTGTGTGACCTTGGGCAAGTTCCTTAGCCTCACAGAGCCTCGGTTTCCTCATCTGCAGAATGGGATAATACCGGCACCTCCCCTCACAGTAACGATGGGAGGGGTCAGTGCAATGGGTAATGCAGGTAAAGGCCTCCCCAAGGTGCCAGACAGATCCGTGGCCCCCAGCTGCCCCCAACCACCATGACCGCAGACACTGCTCGGCCCCTGGAACCGCTTCTGCTCAGTCTCTCCCCGGTGTTCCAAAACTAAAAGACACCAATTTCCACATCATCTTGGTGTTTCCAACTCAGGCCCGTGGCCCTTTCCTGTGCTTGGGGGAGGGACTGCCTAGGACTGGCTGGACGAGCTCAGCAGCCTCCCCAGACACGACCTCCGGCCAGCACATCCAGGCTGGCCCAGTTTCTGGGAGAGATTAGAACGTCAATCTCAGGTGGCAATTAAGGGCTATTCCCGGAGTGGATGCTGCCGAAAAGAGCGCCGGCCACAACAGCTTCTCTCAGAGGTGTCCACAACCGTCTGAGGGGCAATCAGATGTCAGCGAGACTCCCTGGAGGGGCAGCAGCAAGTGGAAAATACCATGTGACCGCCGGCTAATTTTCCCCACTGACAGATGATTATTCTAATTACACAAGAGGATTTTCTTTCCTTTTCAAATTGCTAACACATTCCCCAGAAAGGGCGCCCTTACCCGACGCGATGACAGTGCCGGCCCAGAGCGTGTTCTCTATGCTCAAGCTCTCGCTGATCGGAGGGTCGCTGTCTTCCTGGAAAAGACCAATGGGCACGTATTTATCCAACAAGGTTCTGGAAGAATCCACAGGCTATTTCCAACCTGCTCGTCCCAAGACAGGAAGAGAGGATGACCCCTATTTGGAAGCCCCCAGGTGAGCCAGGAGAAAAGGGCCAAGCTCCAAAGCCACTGTCGTGGGCGTGCTTTTCATCCCCAGGGTCATCCGTGACCGAAGGAGGACAGGCTTCCAACACTGAAGACACATCCAGCAAGGCAGGAACTAAAATGCAGAAGCAAATCAAACAGAAGCAGCCCTCTGCTGGCCCATCCTATGGCTTCTAGGAAGAGACCATGAATTCCGTGGGGGTCCCAGATTCTCCAAATAATTGAAAGCTAAATTTAATTTCTAGCCTTTAGGTAGAATAGTTGGGAAGTGGCTTAAAAATTGTTAACAATGCCAGCCGGGGCTTGTGTGAGTAGAAGAGGTCACGGATGTGTCCAAAGCAGACAGCAAAAGTACCTGCCTTCCCACCACAGAGTTCACAGTAATTCTAACGCTGCTGGGGTCTACGCTGTCGGGGAAACTCACGCTGTTCAGAGGCTGGGAGAAAGCCCCCGCTGTGCCAACCTCACTGAGAAACACTACGTCAGTTTTCAAGCTGGGGCTTCTTACGGGAAGCTCACCCCTTCCTGGAGCAGAGCTACCCCCTGACAAAGACCTGTCAACACTTCTTCTCTGCAGGTCTCTGTCCCCAGCACGTGCTCTCAGCAAGGCGGGAGCGCCCGGTCAGCGAAGCCTACTTACTCTGGTGAAAGTTCCCACAAAGTTGTGAATGTCGATATTTGGCTCTTCTGCATAGACGTACGATCGAATCTGAAGGAGATCCTGTTCAACAGAGGTAACGTTTTGGAGTTAAAACAAAGTTCAGGGGTCACCTGGGTGGCTCAGTCGTTAAGCATCTGCCTTTGTCTCGGGTCATGATTCTGGGGTCCTGGGATCAAGTCCCCGCATCGGGCTCCCTGCTGAGCAGGAAGCCTGCTTCTCCCTCTCCCACTCCCCCTGCTTGTGTACCCTCTCTTGCTGTGTCTCTCTCTGTCAAAGAAAGAAATAAAATCTTTAAAAAAAAAAAAAAAAAAAACAAAGGGATTAAAGAGATCTCAGGAGGGGTGCCTGGGTGGCTCAGTGGGTTAAAACCTCTGCCTTTGGCTCAGGTCATGATCTCAGGGTCCTGGGATCAAGCCCCACATCGGGCTCTCTGCTCAGCAGGGAGCCTGCTTCCCTCTCTCTCTCTGCCTGCCTCTCTGCCTGTGATCTTTCTCTGTCACATAAATAAATAAAATATTAAAAAATAAATAAGTAAAGAGATCTCAGGAGGCCCCCAGAGTTTTTCAAAAGCAACTCCATCCCCCAAACAGCAAGCAGGCTCTCAAAAGTACAGGCGAGGTAGAAAAAGAGAAGAAAAAATTCTCTATTATAAACTACGCTTAGCAGTCGCTCCACACGCTATCCCACAACACCCCGACAGACTTCAGTGAAGATGCCTGTGTGTCTGTGTTCACCCAGTGCTTCCCAAACTGGCTCACGGCCTAGGTCCCCCTTCTGCTCCACTGCCGGGGCCAAGAGCTATTGGTACCTACGAAGGTCTGTGCTCAGTCAACGGTGCTTACTTGGCCCTGCTCTGTGTAAGGCCTTGGAAAAGGCATAAAAAGCAAACAGAACACCTCACACCCAGAGGGATGGCAACCGTCCAAAAAGTATGGGCAAAAATGTGGAGGAACCGGAACGCCCGTGGACTATTCAAAGGAACGTAAAGTGGTGCAGCCACCACGGAAAACAATATGGCGGTTCCTCAAAAACTTACACTTAGAATTACTGTGATTAGCAAGCCACTCGCGGGGAAGTAACAGCAGGGCCTCGAAGATGCTGTACGGCTGTGATTACACACAGTCACCGAAAGATGCTGACAACCCACGCACCCACTGACGGGTAAATAGATGAACAAAATGGGATACAGCATATAATGGAATATTGCCCAGCCTTATAGAGGAAGGGAATCCTGACACAGGCCACCACATTATGCTAAGTGAAATAAATCCATCACTAAAGGACAAATACTGTATGATTCCCCTTAGATCGGGTCCCTAGAACAGTCAAATTCATAGAGACAGAAAGTGCAGTGGTGGATGTGGGGGACTGGGCAACGGGGAACTGGTGTTTGATGGGTCAGAGTTTCTGTTTCGCATGGTGAAGAGCTCTGGAGATGGGACGGTGGGGACAGCTGCACAATGTGAATGGGTTTACCGCCCCTGAACTATACATTTTAAAATGATAACGTGGTAATTTGATGTGTATTTTACCACAATGAAAAAAATTGAGAAAAAAAAGATCTCCAATCAGGTAGTCAGGCAAATCCAGACCACAATATACCTTGGCTACAGCGACCCACAGGGGGGCAGAGGTTACTGGTCGCCCCCCGCCCAGGACCTGTGGCCTCTACTAACTAGCTAGGAGGTCCCACGTGCAGATGTGTTTATCCTGTGGCCTCTATGTACTAATAAAAAAAGGTCCCGAGGGGATGCTTGGGTGACACACTCATTTAAAAGTCAGACACTTGATTTCGGGGCTCAGGTCGTGATCTCAGGGTCGTAATCTCAGAGTTGTGAGATTGAGCCCCACATGGGGCTCTGTGCTCAGCGTGGCGTCTGCTTGAGTTTTTCTCTCTCCCTCTCCCTTTACCACTCCTCCTTGCTCTCTCTCAAATAAATAAATAAATCTAAAATTAAAAAAAAAAAAAAAGCCCAGGGATACATTCAAAGTTGGACAGGAGCAAAAGTTGCAGAATCCCAAACACAGGGTAATCTCATATACGTGTGCGCTCCCCCCACCCACCAGCAAGTTCACAGCTGTACATGTGTAGGGAGGTGTGCTGGCAGAGGTCTGGGAAGACCACCACTGACTTTACAGGATCCCCAGAGGGAAGGAGGTAAGGTCTGGGGCAGAGGCCACAAGTAAGACTTTTCATTTCTTCCTCCAGGGCTTTCCATACAATTAATTAAGTTATTTATTTTAACAAGAGCACAGTCTTGTGATGCCCAGGTCGTCCCTTCATACGGTTCTTCTGCTAAATCGCCGCTCCCCTTTCGGATCCCTCTATCCTAGCAAGGAGGAGTCTCCTAACAAGGACAGCAGCATCTCCTCCTTCTCTGGGCCCCAGCCCAGGCCCAGGCCAGACGGGGCAGGGCAGGGGCGGGGGATGGGGGAACAGGGAGAGGGGCCAACTGCGGTGTTCCTTAAACTGACGCATCCAAAGCACACACCGACAAAGCAACTCTGTGCAGCAACAGACCCACACCTTCGTGACAGACCCGCACCTTCATGATTCTAGGCACTTCCAGGCCATCTCTTAAAGAGAGTCCTTCAAATCATTATGAGGACCAGAAAGCTTCCCTTGGAGAAATCTTACCAGGAACTTAAAACGCGTCACCAGAAAAACCAGAACCCTCTCACTAGACCAACCCCATCTCGGGGCAGGACGGTGCCCCCTCAGGATTCCCAGGGGCTCCCAAACAGTGTTAGAAACTCACTGCTCCAGAATTCTGGTTTAAGAATTAATATTAGTAATGGTGCCACTTCACTTGTTGCTGACCATGAGACATCATTAGGACAGGGGGCATGTTTACCAGCCTATTAACATGGAACATTGTCCTGCCCACTCCTTCCTCACAGAAAATGGATGAGAAACAGCATTAATCCTGTGACCACAAGCCCAGGAAAACCTTTCATGTTCTGCCAAATCCTTTCAGGCCACTGTTGGGGCATGTTGGCCTGTGAGCATTTAAATTACATTTTGTGACTCTGTAACCTTGTCCATGGGCCACATCCAATCCATGTGGCTCGTCCTTAAACTTACTCTTTGGCTCCCTGCCCCTCTCGCTTTACAGATCACGGCCTGAGTAATGTGGGGCTCACAGGGAAGTGTGGGGCTCTGCACACCCTTGAGAGCCTGCTGGTCCTAACTTCTTAGGCCACCCCCTGGGAGAGGGCCCGTGGCTGTTCCACACATGGCTCCACATGCTGTTCCTCACACTGTTCCACGCGTAGCGTATTCAACAGTGACCATACCAGGCAGAACTCTGCTCTCAGAGATACTGCCTGGAAGTGAGTTGGGTGGGAAGACAAGGGGAGGGTGGTCAGAAAATGCCTCTCACACAAGGAGATCTGTGCACAAAACCCAGGAGGTAGGCTGGAGAGGCCCAGCCAGGCAGCCACTGGAGCACAACTGTCCCCAGCAGAGGAAACAGCGAGGGCAAACACTGGGACCCAGAGGGAGAGGGCACAGGCAGGCAGAGCACCCAGGCTGAGGTCAGGGTCCTGGCAGGGACACAGACCCCACGGGGCTTGAGGACAACAGCAAGGACGGTAGTCTGGGTTCTCAGGAACGAGAAGCCTCCAGAGGCCCTGAGCAGAGGGACGATATACCTATATGCCTTTCCTTCTAGCTTTATGCAAGGCACCTTGTCGAGGCTTTGTAAGATTCTGAGCTTCCCTCTAAAGAGCCCCCAACCCTGCACTTCACTCGGCCATGTGACTTGAAACAACAGGTGCTCGGGGAGGCCCCCCAGGACCCCATCCTGCCCGCCCTCCTTCCCACCTGACATCCCTCATCAGGCCCTGGAGGGCCTCTAAGTCTGAGAGCCCGACAAGGACACGGGTGCCAGTCTGCGTTTCCGCGGGAAAGCTACTCACGGCCGCGGTGGGGAGCCTCTGCGTGCAGGCCACGGGGAGCCGCAGCTTCCAGTCTGTCTCGCCGTCCAGCTGGTCCGTGCGCAGGAAGCAGGAGCCTGTGGAAGGAAGGTGGGCGCTGTCTATCCGCTTTCGATTCAAGGATTCCCTCCCCCGGCGGCTCTCAGCAGTTCCTGCTCTCGCCGTTGTAAAAACCCAGTCAGGGACCAACCACCGAAAGGGAAAACAAATACCCCATTTCCCACTTCCTCTGTAAGCTCTGGGGTCGGAAGATCTGGGTTCAAATCCTCACTCCAGGGACACCTGGGTGGCTCGGTCGGTGAAGCGTCTGCCTTCGGCTCAGGTCATGATCCCAGGGTCTTGGGATCGAGTCCCATATCGGGCTCCCTGCTCAGCAAGGGGCCTGCTTCTCCCTCTGCCTGCTCTGCCTGCTGTTCTCTCTGACAAATAAGTAAATTTTTAAAAAGATTTTATTTATTTACTTGACAGAGAGAGAGATCACAAGTAGGCAGAGAGGCAGGCAGAGAGAGGGGGAAGCAGGCTCCCCGCTGAGCAGAGAGCCTGATGCGGGGCTCGATCCCAGGACGCTGAGATCATGACCTGAGCCAAAGGCAGAGGCTTAACCTACACTGAGCCACCCAGGCACCCCGACAAATAAGGTAATTAAAAAAAAAAAAAAAAAAGTCCTCAGTCCATCATCCACTCACAATAGGAACCTAGGCCAGTTTCCTGACTTTGCTAAACCCAGCAGGCCCAGTCTGTGAAACGGGAGGACAGAGAGCACAGGAGCTTGCTATGGAGATTGGGTGCGAGAAGGCCCAGCGGGGGCTGGCACAGACAGCATTCGAGGCCATTCTGGGCAGGAGATACCTGATCAGCAACCAGACTCCTGGATTCAAGACCAGCTACCTGACTTACTGGCCGCATGTCCTTGGGGACGCTTAGCCTCTCCAAGCCTTGGTTTCCCTGAGTGTAAAAGTGGACAGAGCAGCACCCGCAGTGTGGATGCCACAACGGACCCTGGCGGCTGCTCAAAATGCAGGAAGCGCTATGAAAGCATGTGCTCGTTCCCCACCCGCACGCCGAGGCCTCTTTCCGTCCGACAAGCTCGCCCAGCAATGAGTCAGCGGTAGATTTCATCAGACCCAGGACGCGCTCAATTCCCGGACACCGCAGCTAAGACCTCCGGGCACCACTGAGGAAAAGCATGTCTAATCTTTGCGGGGGCGGGCAAGGGGCAGGGAGGGAAGCATTTCAGGGGCCCTAATCCATGACACTCTGTCTTCACAGATAAGGACACAAGAACCCACTGAGTACAAAGCTGGAGACTCTGAAAGAAGACTTTGAATCTAGGGCCTTCCACTCCATCTCTGGATAAATTATTGTTCCTATAAAATTTCACCTGCACCTTTATTTGACTCATAATAAAATAAGTTACAGCAACCCTAAGGAATATAAATGTTATTTTTTTCAGATGCTCAAAGATCTGATTGTGCCTGTACTCAGGCGAAAAATAGCCTCATTTCCTCAAAACAGCTTAAATAACAGAAAAAAAGAAAAGAAGAAGGAGATGAAAGTCAACAGATGGGGTTGGAATGCAGTGGTGACAGCCACCCCGGAAAAACTGGGAGGGAGCAGCGTCGGGGAGGAGCCCAGAGCAGCTCGCCCAGGGGGCTGTGGTAATAAATACATTCATGGGCGATGATAGGCGAGGCCTCACGGCTCACGAGTGAAGGGCCTACCTACCTCTCTCCCCACCTTCTCTAGGGTCCCACGTATCTCCTGGCACTTTCTCAGAAGAGAGAGGATTTCTGGGTGCTTCTATCTGTGAAACATGCTTCCTGATCCCGCCAAGTCCTACAGTGGAGCCCAACAGCAGCCCAGAAAGGAAAATCAAAGCCGCGGTCTGTGGACCCACCAGCGGGCACTCAGCCTGGGCCCAGCTAACTGCATCTTGGGGACGATCAAAATCTACTGACCTGCGAGGACCGAAGACGTTTTGTTTTGTTTTGTGTAAAGACTGCTCTATTAAAAGAGATGTTTCTGATTTGCCTTCATGGCTCCAAAATGATCATCTACTTCTGTTCCATTTTCAAATGATTATTTTGCCAAATTACCACTGAAAGGTTAATGGTTATTTTCAAAATTGATCCCAGATGTTTACCGTTTTTTTCTGATGTCCTCAGGAAGATCATGTCAGCAGGGACCCGCTGGTTCTGTGTAATGAAAAGAAAGACTGTTACCGTGAATAGCCATGTGTGGGGTTTCCGTCCACCCCCCCCCCCACCGCAGCCCCCTCACGGGGGAGGGGGCAGCCAAAACCCACAGCCTCATTTACGTTTCTGCCTTTGTCACACACAGCTTTGGGGATTTATTTTGTTTTGAATCTGAAAAATCTTGCGCGCTGCTGTTACTTAACTAATCCCCTATTGAAATCTTCTCTCAGAAAGAGAGCTTCTAGTTTTCTGGAGAATCCAACCATTACCTCCCGAAATTCCAGCCAGAAGGGCCCGGGCCAAAAGCCAGCCACCCTCGCCGGCTTTCTTGCAGTCAGTCTGCTGAAACCAAAGACACACGCACACTCGCTCACGCTTTCTGCTCCTGCCAATTCTCTGGCTTGATGTTTGCCTTTGAGTGGAATTTTAATAAGGAAGTCGAGTAGTAAGAAGCGACAAAAGCCATTCTTGAGAAAGCACGGATGTAAGCCAATGGCAGTCCTCGTTTAATTACAGAGAAGTATGTAATAACATAGAGAGTCCATAGGGTCTCCTGAGCTACTACACAGGGGAGCTTCCCTTCACCTCATCAACTTTGAGTTCTTGGATTTAATCCCTTTAAAGGAGCATAGTTCACTTCCTACAGAAACAAGCTAGGATACAATCCTTTTCTAATCAAATATTATTCCAAGCCTCTCCAGGGCCACCCCCAAAACCACGGCCTTCCAAAAAGAGATGGGAGTGTTTGCTGAAGTCCTAAACCTATGAATGGCGCTATTTTTAAAAAGGCATTTTGGGCAGTTTTTACTATTCTCGTATCACACGTGATCCATGCTCCCCACAAAAACGACAGAAGAACATGATGTTTAAGTAAAAAAAAAAAAAAATGCAAGCTAAAATCGCTCAAAACGGTAAATGACAAATATTTTTATGGGAAAGCAGGCTTCGAGGAAAGACTTCATGGTAATATTTAAAAAAAAAAAAACACCAAAAGGAATCAAAACTTGGGTTTTGGCTAACTAGCATACATAAACCTTGAAAAATTATTCTATGTGGGTGTCTCATGGCAAGAAATTTTCCTCCCCAGGCAAAGCTTTAGGAGAGAATCCCAAAAAGCCTACATTCAGTTAGTCTACCAGAGTCAGGATCTATGATGTGGTGGCCATGACTTCCCCCTTAACACACTCACACAGCAACTGGTCACAAACTGTGGGATCCCACCCACCTTTTCCACGATGATAAGATCTCCAACCTGGATGTTGGAGCTTTTCACCTTCACTGTCCCTGCGAAGAAAGAGGTCCAAGATCCATCATGTGTGAATGCATTTCAATTCCTCACGCCTTTGTAGAGGTGCCCACGAGCCTGCAAAGCCAATACGGTACACCCAGAAGTAATTCCCTTCTGGGCCCTGCCAACCTCATGGGCGTCGCCTGCCTCTCCAGGAAGAGACACCTGCTGCAGAGACTGCTCCGGGAACAAATCCCCACCTCTCAGAGCCCTGCACTAACTCACCCCCTCACAGCAGGTGCCTTCTGTCTTAACGGCACTTCAGCTGCTTTTCTAAATTGGTACCGTGAGATTCATTCAACCTCAAAAGAAGACAAAAAAGAACACAGAAAAGGAGAAGAAAATTAAGGCCCAGATCCATGGACAGGGAAACTCCTTTTTTTTTTTTTCTTTTTTAGGATTTTATTTGAGAGAGAGAGAGAGAAAAGGCACGAGTAGGGGGAGAGGTAGAGGGAGAGAACCTCAAGCAGACTCCCCGATGAGCACAGAGCCCAACATGGGGCTTGATCTCATAATCCCGAGATCATGACCTGCACCGAAATCACTCCCCGATGAGCACAGAGCCCAACATGGGGCTTGATCTCATAATCCCGAGATCATGACCTGCACCGAAATCACGAGATCATGATTACCCAACAGACGGAGTCACCCAGATGCCCCCTGGAAAATCAGCTTTTAATTTTCGACATCCCTGAAAAGAAAGAAGTCATCCTAACATGACTGATTTTTTTAAAATTTGTGGTTGCTGGGCAGGTGGGTGGCTCCATCGGTTAAGCGTCTGCCTTCACCTTGGGTCATGATCCCAGCTGGGACTGAGTCCCAAGCTGGGCTCCTGGCTCAGTGTGGGGAGTCTGCTTCTCCCTCTGCCTCTCACTCACTTCTGCTCTCTCTCTCTCTCAAATAAATCAATCTTTAAAAAAAATTTGCGATCGGTACCTATTTTATGTGACTCTGATCAGACTACACCACTTGAGCTGGATGTTTACATGGATAAACAGTAACAGCTAACATTAAACACAAACCTGAACTCAGCACCGTAGGGGCACTGACATGGTGACAGCTGCCTTTAGTCCTCACAACGGCCTTTAGAAATGGCTATTATCGCCTCGGGAGTTTTCAGACAAGGAAATTAGGCTCAGACCTGCACCATCCCCACCCCACCAGCCTCACAGTTAGAAAGGATCAGAGCCGGGATTCACAACCACAGCTGACTGCAGAGGGAGGATATTTAAAAAAAAAAAAAAAAAAAAAGTGAGTACAGTTCTAGGCCAAAAAAGAACATTTACTGAGTGCTACGTCGTGGGAATTTAAAGATGCAAGGCAGTCCCCTTATCCAAGAAAAAAAAGGGTCGGGTTCCTTCTGGAGTCCACAGACATGCTGGCGGGGGCCAAGGCAGTGAACATTTTAGGTTTTGTAGGACAAGAGGTGAGGTTCCCAACTCTGCCAGCAATCAGTCCCGCCACCAAAGGGACAAAACTATTCTTAGCAACCAGGCCACCCCCCCCCCCAAAAAAAAAGGCACCAGGGCTGAATTTGGCTCCAGGGCTGTAGTTGCAAACCCATGAGCTGGTAAGAAAGAGAGCCAGACAGATGCGGTTAGTGCGAAATCATGAGAGAAATGATGTAGGTGAGTCAGGGGGACTAGGGAGCAGAAAGGGAGGGAATCTCCCCCTTTGGAAGAGGACCCGAACACTGCCCAGCAAACAGAAGGCTCTTGGTCATACTTTCAACGTTCCAGCACCATCTACTGAATGCCTGCTGTATGCCCGCTGATCCAGAGGTGGGGATACACGGAACTCACATTCCAGTGGAAGGAAGGAGGCAACGGGTAAATCAGGAGCGAACGGGGTGGGCTTGGCAGGGAAGGTGAGACCAGAGTTGGCCGGATGAAGGACACTGGTGACCAGTAACCCGTGAAAACTCATGAGATGGGAGAAAGCGGTGTATGTGAGTTGTCCATGCCTGAGTGTGGCCCTAGGCTGCACCTCCCTCAGCAAGGCCAGAAGCACTGGATGGAAGGCAGGGAATGGCAAGAGAGGAAGGTGGAAGGGCAGGTCAGGGCCTGGTGGTTCTATGGACAAGCCCAGAGGGGAGGGGAGCCGTGATTCTGGTGATGGTCAAATTCTTGCAGAAGGGGCAACACCGAGAAATCGTTAAGTCGCTGGCTAAGTCGCTGGCTTTTCGTAAAAAGCCCATTTAACTTACAAACATTAGGCCGAGAAAGAAAGGAAGTAATAATGACTCTCAATCCTTCTCAATAAAGTGCCTTTTCATCCAGCCTCGAGGGCAAAAGTGGAAAGGGAATCGCGAATCTGCTATTCCCTCCCTGTGGTCACTCATTCCACAAAACCCCAACGTTCACTAAGCATAGGATTTCTAGCTTGAGCTTAAGAACTTAAAGACATTAATGAAATAATCTGAGTGTACAACTCCAGGCTTTTACAGTTTTTCACAGTATCCTATGCTTTTCACATAATTCAATATGTCTTTTTAATAATTTACCGCTGTTGAGATTTTCCATAGCATTCCAATGATTTCTACTGAACGAACTTTTTCCAATAGGTTCCACAGAGTTTCATCTTAATTAATTCTTGTACTTAACTGAATTTTGTGCTAGTAACAGTCAGTGGAACTACCGCTAGGAGGGAAACCCCCAAACATGAAGAATGACTTCTAGACAGACTACCCAGCAAGCAGTGAACTGAAACAACCCTCGGCGGCTCTGAGGGCTTCTGGACTCTCCCAGCTGGGACATCTCACACTGAATGTTCCATGTGCCTCATTTTCACCGAGCACAGGACTAAATTCAATGAGAGCCCCAGAGCCTCAAGGGTTCCTTATATCAAAATATGTGCAGACGAAATGGAGGACATCCACTAAGCCAGAGTGAGAGCATTAGAAATGGGAGAAAAGAGAGATGCCTGCGTGGCTCAACCGGTTAAGCATCTGCCTTCAGCTCGGGCCATGATCCTGGGGTCCTGGGACCAGCGCTGGGCTCCCTGCTCAACAGGGAATGCTTCTCCCTCTGCCCCAATCCCTTCCCCACCACTCAGGCTCTATCACTCTCCCTCAAATAAATAAAATAAAATAAAATAAAATAAAATAAAATATGAGAAAGGAAGGAAGGAAGGAAGGGAGGGAGGAAAAGGAAAGGAAAGGAAAATGAAATGGGAGAAGAGAGAGATGCCTGGGTGGCTCAACCGGTTAAGCATCTGTCTTCAGCTCGGGTCATGATCCTGGGGTCCTGGGACCCAGCGTTGGGCTCCCTGCTCAATAGGGAGTGTGCTTCTCCCTCTCCCTCTGTTTGCCCCAACCCCTTTCCCACCATTCAGGCTCTATCACTCTCTCTCAAATAAATAAAATAAAATCAGAAAGAAAGAAAGGGAGGGAGGGAGAGAGAAAGAGAGAGAGAGGGAAGGAGGGAGGGAGGGAGAAAGGAAAGGAAGAAAAGAAATGTGGAGGAGGCACCTGGGTGGCTCAGTGGGTTAAAGCCTCTGCTTTCGGCTCGGGTCATGATCCCAGGGTCCTGGGATCGAGCCCCAGGTTGGGCTCTCTGCTCAGCAGGGAGCCTGCTTCCTCCTGTCTTTCTGTCTGCTGCTCTGCCTGTTTGTGATCTCTGTCAAATAAATAAATAAAATCTTTAAAAAAAAAAGAAAAGAAAAGAAAAATGGGGGAAGACCGAGTCCAAGGTGCAGAGTTCTTTCCCTGGCCGACCATTTCTCCCAGCGCCACTAGGGGGCAACAAGAAAAACATACACAGCACAGACGTGCTAGTCTTCCCAGGGAATGTATTGAGGCGATGCTCGAAGGAAGACGGTAAATTCCGCATGGCCCTCTGTGCCAATGAACTTCTCCTTCACCTGAGCTCGCCTCGGCTTTCCCAAACATAAATTTACACATAGTTTTTGGTTTTATTACTAACACTGAGGCTGGTGGCCTGACCCAAGCGATCGTTGGGCTTGTGTTCCAACCTTCCGGACCTGGCTCCCAGTCTTCTCTCGTACTTAACTCAAAAAGAAATTCGTATTTTCAGTCTTAATCATAACTGCATATGTATGCGCGGGGATGTCGGCAGGACAGACAAAATCAGCAGGATTATGCTGGAGGCCTTGACGGATGATTCTTCCTGGGGACAAAGGGAGTTTATCCCTCTCTCTGGCACACACACTTTCTAAATTCTTCACAGTGATTTTTTTTTTTTTATAAGCATGAGGTGTTCTTCTAATAAGAAAGAAGAAGAAATTAAATTAGCTCAAACTTCTAAGTGACCAGACCCAGATCTCTCCCTTCTACAACGGAGCCCTGATTTATGATCAGTTAATGTGAACTCTTGCCTCTCCCTGTCCATCTGCTCTACCTCAACAAAAACCCCTTTTAATCCACGCGCTTGCCGAGAGGATTCTGACCGAGGCCAGCAGGCCGATCTCCCAGACAAGGTCTTCTACTGTATCTGTCAGCCAGCCAGCAGGCTCCCTCTTGGGAAGAGGGCAGCGGGGGCCACACAACCAAGAGGCCACTTGCATTTCTTAGCCATGGTTCCTCACTAGCATGTGTGTGTGTATTGGCAGGGGCGGGGTGGGGGGGTTGGTCTCTGCAGCTTGCACAAAGGGATATCTTCAGACTCGGCTCTGTCGAGCTGACCCCACAGTCCTGACCATTAATTTGGATTTCCCTTTCCACATTGCCATTTGTTGGCAATCAACAACACACCATGCAGGGCTGTGTGCAGGGTGGTGTGGGTCTGTGTGTGTGTGTGTGTGTGTGTGTTCTGAATGAGGACAGGCATAAAACCAGAAGAATGAAAACGTGGCAGGAAGAAAAGAGATGGGAAAACAGATACCAGGGTTCCTGTTCCAACGTTGACTGGGCTTTTCCACCAGCCAGGTACCACAGCCTGCTGTGGACATCTGAACAAAGGCCTTCACACGGCCCTCATGACTGCCATGGGCCAGGGTGATGGAGGGAAGCAGAAGGAAAGGGAGACAAAATGAGACT